AAAGAAACATAAGTAAAATGTTTCCCTGAGTTCTGTGAGCCATTCTAGCAAATTATCAAACTGGCAGTGGAGACCAGTTGTGGAAACTCATAATTCTGTAATCAAGTCAGAGCAAAACATGGGTACCCTGGGGACCCAACACTTGCAACTGGCACCTGAAGTGAGGTCAATCTTCTGAGACTGAGCTGTTAAACTTGTGAAGTCAAATATTAACTCTGATAAGTTATTTCAGAATTGAATTGAATGGTAGAACACTGGTGTGGTGTCCAGGCAGCTAGAGAACTGGTTGTTGATGCAGAAAACTCTCACACATCTGGTGTCAAAAGTGTTGTAAGTTGAAACAGTAATAAAGAGGAATAAAAGATTGGTCTAGTATTCATATATAACAGTAACCCCAAAGTAAATTTTGTAAAAGGTAAAGGTTCTTTGACAAGACAAAATTTGCAATACTAGTAACAAGCACTTCTTCTAAAGACTAGAAATTAGAAAACCTGAATCCTAGCCCTGTATAATTATAAAAATAATGCAGCCAATAAACTCCCAGAATATGCCAAACTCTAATCTAAGCACTATGCAAATCTGATGTCGTATAATATATATAACAGTACTATGAGGTAGGAATTACTTGTGTATCTCATCCATAGATGAAAAACAATGAGGCACAGAGAGATGAAGAGACTTGCCCTAATTAACATTCTTAAGTGACAAAGCCAGGGATCAATTCATACAGCCTGATTCCATAGTATGTGCTTCTAATTACTCTGCCTTAGTGTTAACTTAAATTTTTAATCTAAAAAGACAGAGAGAACAAGAAACAGAAAAGTCTGAACTAAATAATGTCTAAGGAACCATCCAGCTATTAGATTTGCACTTTTCTCAAAAATATTTTTGTTGTGAAACTGAACATACTAATTTCATTTCAAATGGCATCTTAAGATACATAATTTGAAAAACAAATGTGGAGTCACCATTTCTACATTTTACATGATTTTATTAATATATACTAATCAAATCTCCCTTTAATATTTGCTTTTTAAATAGCACTTCATCATACTGAACTGCTTATAATCCTATAAATGTCCTGCAGTAATCCTGAGTGTTCTTCACCAAGTATTTCCAATCAACAAACAAGGCATATCTTTCCATTTCCTTAGGTCATTTTAAATTTCTTTCAGCAACATTTTGTGATTTGTGGAATACAAGTTTTTCATCACCTTAAACTTATTCCTAGGTATTCTATTGTTTTAGATACTATTGTAAATGGAATTGTTTTCTTAACTTCCTTTCCCCTTCGTCATTTCTGGTGTGTAGAAACACAACTGATTTTCATGTGTTAAACTTTTAATCTGTAACTTGGCTAAATACTTTCAATAAATCTGTAATAGGCTACTTTGACAAGGCATTATAAGAAAAAGACAAGCTCAAAACTGAATTCATAGAGAAAAGACAATTCTCAAGCATCAAATCACAGGAAATAGAAAAGTACAGAAATCTGAAGGCTTGCATGCACAACCACTTCCCAACCGCAACTTAAGAAACAAACAACTGAGAAGGCCTTTCAGCAACAAATACCAACTACATTCAGCCTTGCAGCAAGTGGTAAACTAAGTGTTTTAGCCATACTCACTAATAAAATCTCAATAAAGTGCCTCCAAGCAGAGATAAAATAAAGCTATGATTGTTTCAGGCTATATGGTTTAGGGAAAAGAGACCACAAGATTTCTTCCACCCTGGTTTGATAAAATGAATATATCTCTGCAATTAAATAGAAGGACAGAGGGACAAATATGAGGTTCAAAGCATTTAAGCATATTAAACCTAGAAAGTAGTTCTCTAGTTTTACAAAGGCAGATTAGTTAAAAAATTTTTTGGGAAAAAAAAAAAAAGTAGTTCTCTAAAACAACTGTGGACATGGCCTTAATAGAGCTGACTACTATCAAAGACAAAATACCATGGGGAAAGGATTCCCTGTTTAATAAATGGTGTTGGGAAAACTGGCTAGCCATGTGCAGAAAGCAGAAACTGGACCCCTTCCTGACACGTTTGGACCCCTTCCTGACACCTTACACTAAAATTTACTCCAGATGGATTAAAGGCTTAAACACAAGACCTAACACCATAAAAACCCTAGAAGGAAATCTTGGCAAAACCATTCAGGACATAGGCATAGGTAAGGACTTCATGACCAAAACACCAAAAGCATTGGCAACAAAAGCCAAAATGGGACCTAATCAAACTCCATAGCTTCTGGACAGCAAAAGAAACAGTCATTAGAGTGAATTGGCAATCAACAGAATGGGAAAAAATTTTTGCAATCTACCCATCCGACAAAGGGCTACTATCCAGAATCTACAAAGAACTAAAACAGATTTACAAGAAAAAAACAAACAACCCCATCAAAAAGTAGACAAAATATATGAATAGGCACTTCTCAGAAGAAGACATTTATGCAGCCAACAAACATATGAAAAAATGCTCATCATCACCGGTCATTAGAGAAATGCAAATCAAAACTACATTGAGATACCATCTCACGCCAGTTAGAATGGTGATCATTAAAAAATCTGGAGACAACAGATGCTGGAGAGGATATGGAGAAATAGGAACACTTTTACACCGTTGGTGGGAGTGTAAATTAGTTCAGCCTTGTGGAAGACAGTGCGGTGATTCCTCAAGGACCTAGAAAGAGAAATTCCATTTGACGCAGAAATCCCATTACTAGCTATATATCCAAAGGATTATAAATCGTTCTACTATAAGGACACATGCACACGAATGTTCATTGCAGCACTGTTTACAATAGCAAAGACTTGGAACCAACCCAAATGCCCATCGATGATAGACTGGACAGGGAAAATGTGGCACATATACACCATGGAATACTATGTAGCCATAAAAAATGATGGGTTCGTGTCCTTTGTAGGAACACGGATGAACCTGGAAACCAGCATTCTCAGCAAACTGACATAAGAACAGAAAATCAAACACCACATTGAGTTCTCACTCATAGGCGGGTGTTGAACAATGAAAACACATGGGCATAGGGAGGGGAGCATCTCACACTGGGGTCTGTCAGAAGGAAATAGGGGAGGGACAGAGGTGGGTGGGGAGTCAGGGAGAGATAGCATGGGGAGAAATGACAGATATAGGTGATGCGGAGGAAGGCAGCAAATCATACTGTCATGTGTGTACCTATGCAACAATCTTGCATGTTCTTCACATGTACCCCAAAACCTAAAATGCAATTAAAGAAAAAAGACAAGACACCAAAGGAATCATTACCCTTAACTGTAACTATTTGCTACCTAAAATGACTCCTGGGATCCCCATTTTTTGTAAACAGGAAGCAGGTTCAGAAATGGTATGATCTTCAAAATCCATTTTAAATATAGCCAACAGATATTGAAAAATAAAAAACCTACAAGACCACAAGGAGCAATGGACTAGGAACCCTGTCAAAAAACTCTGAAAAGATAATCATGGTAAATGAAACGAGCAATCCCTACTCCCAGGCAGAGGCTCTTATTTAATCTATCCAGTGAGATTTTAAAATTGATACATACTAATGATAGCTGTGTGTCTCTGATTCTTCCTTTTTTCCTATTGAGAATGTTTACAGTAAATACCCTACCTTTGTCTCACCACTGTATACTAGGTATGTTGGGAATAAACAATTTAGATTTTAGTTCTACTTCTTCAGGTCAAAAGGGACCATGCCTGGACCTGGTAATGTAGAGACTGCAGCACATTATTCCCCTTCTATTACCCAGTGATCCTGGACTTTTGAACTTGAGGCCATGGCTAGATAGAATCTTCAGATTTTCTCCCAAGAGGACAAGATATGTTAATTTGCCTGTGAGACACAGACTTTCAATATTTGGTGAACAAAAGAGAAGAATGTGGTATATTTGTGCTATTCACTAAGCATTTCCTTTTGTCTTCCCTTCTAAGTTCACACATAGGCTCTCACTCTCTGGCCCCATCATGACTGGATGGGTCATGTAGATATAAATTGAAACTGAATGTGTCACTTCCAGGCCAGAGTATTTAATTACAGATACATATCTAGAAGGGCTCCCTTTCACTTTGAAATGGTATCAGGTAATGCTCCACTTTGGAATTACACTATCAGTAGAGTTCCCAGGGTGAGGACAACATAAAACAGGGCCCCAGGATAGACCTCAATGAATATATAGCATGAGCAAAATATAAATTTTTGCTATTTGAAGCCAGAGAGTTTAGGGCATAACCAAGCCTATCCTGGCTAATATATGGTTACGCTGCTTCTATCCATTCATAAAGTTTTGTATTTCATATCTTTGACAGTCTGGTATTTCACCACCTAAAACAGCATAATTGTTATTAAATTATCTGTGTACTTCTTCTTAGATGCTCTACATGAAGTCTATTTAATTTTTACCTACCAACTTTTATATCATTGAGAAGTATTACTAGGAAATTCTTACATATGTTATTTATGCTATGACACATCCATAAATACTCTTCAGTTGCTTTGTTTAATGTAAAGCAGTTAATCACTTAGGCCTTCTAAGATATTAAATCAAGAAAAGAAAAAAATTTGAACAGAAACATTCAAACAGAAGCCAATGACTGTAGAGAATGAAAGCTAACGTAAACATGCATAAGTGCTTTAAAAATTCAAATGTTATTTATAAATCTTATCCCACTAAAAATGATTTACTCACCACAATGCATTCACAGTTATCTCTATACTTCTGTTATTTGGAGAATATATTATAACTGAGAAATTAACATAAGAATAATCATTAATGTGGGGGAGACCCACATATTTCAGGCCTTTAGCCCTATTTTGAGTCTGCCATAAAATTCTCAATCTTTGAGTGTACATAAGCATATTTTTTCTCCAAAATACACCAAGGAAAGTAAATGGAACAGAACTGAATAAACAGTTATAGAGCTCTCAGGGGAGAGAGTCAGGAGAAAAGTATAAATATATAATGGATGTGGACTTTTATTACCTGAGCATTTAGCAACTCCTCACACTTGTGTGCTTGTTTCTCAATTGCAGAAACGTACTGTTTTTCAATAGCTTCTACTTGTTGCTTAACTGAAGACTGCAGTAGTGCCTGAAAACAAGCAAAAAAGTCATTTGGATCACAGACAAAACTTGGAATCTACTGTTGGCATGATAATTTTTTTGACAGTTGAATATAGTGTAATATGATATTCTTCTAAATTACAAAATATGTATTTGTTCATACCTAAGCACATTTATATATAACACTACTTTCAGCTTTTGCTTTTACATTTGCCTATTGCCAAGATAACAGTTTTTTGGCTCAGATCTTCCTTCCACACATATTCTCCTTAAAAAGGCCAAGTCATAGAAGATGATAGAGAGGGTGAGTAGTTCTGTGAAATATAAATTTGGTTCAGTGAAGACCACACAGGATGAAGAGTGTATGAAACCTAATAAAAAAAAAAAAAGAAAAGAAAAAAGGAAAACGAAAAAAAAAGCCAGACATATTTCACTGGCTGACAAAACTCCACATCCTCTCGGCACACTGTAATATCCCATGGGCCAAGCATGATCTTCAAGACCACAAGTCAAGTAAAAGCAGATGGAAATTCTGAGCAACTTCAAACATAAAAGAACTGCCCCCCAGGAAGTTCACGCCCCTAATGTGAAAAGGTACAAGCTGAAATATGTAAGTCAGAGTCTCAAGGCAGTACACATGAAAAATAATAAAACTTGGGAGACAGGGCATACTTAATTAAATACTATAAATGTTGGAAGTCAAGTCAGACAAATATAAAGATATTACCGCTGTTCCAAGGAAAACCAAATCAGCATTTGAAGATGTTCCACCTAGTCACTTCCTTATTGGAGATGCTTAGAATATTATTATATTTTTTCTTCCGCACTGTTGAGCTTTCTATGTTATATTAACAAGTTCTCAGTAATATCTTTCATGCTATTTATAAACCCTGAATCATTCTATAGGAACTCTACCAAATATCCTATTTATAAATGTCTGTTTAAATAATAAACTACTCATAATCAAAATACTAAGTTGAAACAGAAACGTCTTATAGAAAACAGACCATTGGCACATTCACCCAGAAAAAAAAAAAAAAAAACAGCCAAATCTCTTAATCTCTGTTATGAAAATAGATTTACTTGGTTGGAAACACCATGCATTAAGATGCTAGATAAATAGGAATGTATTTTTAAAAGCTGACACAAAAATATTTTTAAAACTTCTAAATAAGTCTCAAATTTTCAAGTAAAAAACTTTCTTGTGCAAATGTAAGAATGTCTGATGGTGCTACTACTCCTACAATTCAGTAGTCATCACTATGAAGCTATAAAATTATTAGCAAATTAGTCAAGAAAAATAAAGCTCTGAGTTTTACCAAAATATAAGGAAAATGCTTACTAGAACTGCTTTAGCCCTTGATTTACAGGGTCTTCCAAAGATTCCACAATGATTAATTTATGTAATGCACAAAAACTTAATCCTTTTAAAGTGTGAATAGATAAATCTAATTTACCTGTGGGGAAACATACTATTTGTAGGAATTTCAGAAAAGTTAAAAAATAGTACAGTTATAAAAAATTCCCTTGGAATAATCACAGTATCTTTTGTAAAGAGAAAAAAATGCTCTTCTTTTTGGAGACTTGGGATATTATACAATCATTTTGCTTAACAGAAAGAACTGTTTTCACTCCCTTATTTGCCATGGTTCCAAATAATCCCACAATTTAAATATTTAATATTTAAATACTCAATATTCAACTGCAATTTTTAATATATTATATCCTTTGGAGGACAAGTAAGTTAATAATATTCTCTCTATATAATTAAGAAACACAATATGAATAGGGTATTGTTCCTCTAGTGATAGATTTGTACAACATCTACTCATTCTCTTTGAAATGTCAAGGAGGCTAACGAGTAAAGTAAGAGCCAAAGATGTGATTAGGTAGCATAAAGAAAAGCTATGCAAAAGTAAATGGCCTCATATATTTCAAACATCTCATCTTAGCCCCTTTCAGTCATTTAAATCCATAGATCAACAAAAGGGACATAGAGGTAGGTATATAAGGATTTTTTTTTAAAGTCTTCCACATTGAGCTCAGTCTCAAGTTGAAGATAATCATTCCCTTGATAATCACACACTATAGGTATATCAGTGTGTGATTATCAAGGGTGACCTGTTAGACTCCCCACTATACACAAAGAACATTGAATAGATAAGAATAGCTGTTATTCTTAGATTCTGGATATTAGTCCTTTGTCAGATGTATAGATTGTGAAGATTTTCTCCCACTCTGTGGGTTGTCTGTTTACCCTGCTGACTGTTCCTTTTGCCCCAAAGCCTCCTTAGTTTAATTATGTCCCACCTATTTATCTTTGTTTTTATTGTATTTGCTTTCGGGTTCTTGGTCATGAAATCCTTGCCTAAGCCAATGCCTAGAAGGGTTTTTCCAATGTTATCTTCTATAATTTTTAGAGTTTTGGGTCTTAGATTTAAGTCCTTGAACCATCTTGAGTTGATATGTGTGTAAGGCGAGAGATGAGGATTCAGTTTCATTCTCCTACATGTGGCTTGCCAACTATCCCAGTACCATTTGTTGAATAGGGTGTCCTTTCCCCACTTTGTTTTTGCTTGCTTTCTTGAATTGTGGTATTTTGATGGAAATTGTGTTGAATTTGTAGATTGCTTTTTGCAGTATGGTCATTTTCACAATACTGATTCTACCCTTCCATGAGCATGTGATGTATATCCATTTGTGTTGTCTATGATTTCTTTCACCAGCGTTTTGTAGTTTTTCTTGTGGAGGTCTTTTGACTCCTTGGTTAGGTATACTCATGTATTTTTTTTTTTTTTTTTGCTGCTATTGTAAAAGGAGTTGAGTTCTTGATTTAATTCTCAGCTTGGTTGCTGTTGGAATATAGCAGAGCTACTGATTTGTATACATTAACTTTGTATCCTGAAACTTCGATGAATTAATTTACCAGTTCTAGGAGTTTTTTGGGGGAAGCTTTAGTGTTTACTAGCTATACAATCACATCAGCAGCAAACAGTGACAGTTTGACTTCCTGTTTACTGATTTGGATGCTCTTTATTTCTTTCTATTGTCTGATTCCTCTGACTAGGATTTAAATTAGCAAGAAAAACATAAACAATCCCATGAAAAAGTGGGCTAAGGACATGAATAGCCAATTCTCAAAAGAAGATACAAATGGCTAACAAACATTAAAAAAAAAAATGCTCAACATCACTAATGATCAGGGAAATGCAAATAAAAACCACAATGCAATACCATCTTACTCCTGCAAGAATGGCCATAATCAAAAAATTTTAAAAAATAGATGTTGGAAGGGATGTGGAGAAAACAAAACACTTTTATACTGTTGATGGGAATGTAAACTAGTACAACCACTGTGGAAAAACAGTGTGGAGATTCCTTAAAGAGCTAAAAATAAAAATACCATTTGATCCAGCAATCCCACTTCTGGGTATCTACCCAGAGGAAAAGAAATCATTATAGGAAAAAGATACTTGAACTCATATGTTTATAGCAGCAAAATTCACAATTGCAAAAATGAGGAACCAGCCCAAATGCCCATCAATCAACAAATGGATAAAAAAAAACTGTGGTATAAATACATGATGGAATAGTACTCAGCCATAGAAAAGGAATGAATTAATGGCATTCACAGCAACAAGATGGAACTGGAGACTATTATTCTAAGTAAAGTAAGTCAGGAATGGAAAACCAAACATCATATGTTCTCACGCACAAGTGGAAGCTAAGCTATAAAGATGCAAAGGCATACGAATGACACAATGGACTTTGGAAAATCAGGGGAAAAGAGTGGGAAGGGGGTGAGAGATAAAAGGCTACAAATTGGGTTCAGTGTATACTGCTCAGGTGATGGGTGCACCAAAATCTCACATATCACCACTAAGAACTTACTCATGTGACCAAATACAGCTAGTTTTCCCAAAAACCTATAAAAACAAAAAATTAAAAGCAAAACTAAAAATAGCTGGAGCATAGAAAGCTGAAATTAAGAGTGGAGCTAAATGATTAGGCAAGAAAGCAGGTGTCAGGTATTAAAAGAACTTGTATGACAACAAGGAGTTTAAGCATTGGTCCTACTGCTCAACAGTGTGATTACTAGTGCCACAGTCTATGCAAATGAGGTAATTTCCAAAACTGTCCACTGTGGATATACAATTACACATTGGTACTAGCCACTTGCCTTTATAACTTGCTCTATTATTATAAAACTGAGTATTCATCTTCCAGTGTAATATATCATAATACACAAAGACTCCTTTACATTTCTCACAGCATCTCATAATACAATCTTAACATTCCCTGATTTGTTCTTCTGTAACTGTCTCTACAGATACCCAAGACAAACAGGCCTTCCTTGAGCTAATACAACAATTAAAAAAAAAATGAAAGAATAATTTCATTTCCAACCTATTTTGAACTATTCTAAACATCCATAAAGCATTACGACTCTTGACAGTATATACAGATAGAAATACCAGATACACACCAACATATTCTATATTAAAAAGTATGCTATCAAGGGCAGGAAATGTTCTGTTGATTTTGAACATATTTACGTCTTGGCCAAAGTTGTGTCAGAGATTGGCAGTATTATCCAAGAATACTTCGCTAACCTTGAGGGAAACTATTACACTTTAAGAATAATTTTTTGGCAGGGTGTGACGGCTCACATCTGTAATCCTAGCACTCTGGGAAGCTGAGATGGGTGGATCACCTGAGGTCAGGTAGACCAGCCTGGTCAACATGGCAAAGCCCTGTCTCTACTAAAAATATAGAAATTATCCAGGCATGGTGGCAGGTGCCTGTAATCCCATCTTATCGGGAGGCTGAGGCAGGAGAATCGCATGAACCCAGGAAGTGGAGGTTGCAGTGAGCCGAGATCGTGCCATTGCACTCCAGTCTGTGAGATGAGAGTGACTCCACTTCAAAAAAAAAAAAAGAATTTTTAAAGTGTTAAAAATAATTGTAGATCTCTTTAGTACAGGAACTATAACTTCATGAACAGCTTCTTACAGACTACCTTGTACA